GAATGAGCGAACGTCCGTGGTGTTGGTGGGCTCGGGCCATACGCGGAGGCTTGCGGACGGATGCCTTGGGACGTCACATAATGTCCAAAGTACTCCAACTCTTGCCACGCGAATTCACATTTGTCGCGGTTGGCTTTGTACTTGGCTTGTCGTAGCCGCTCCAAAACGGTGCACAGGTGCTCCACATGCTCGTCCAAACTCCGACTGTACACCAAAATGTCGTCGAGGTAGATGAGTACGAATCTATCCAGCATGTGTTGGAACTCCGTTGTCAGAACCGCTTGGAATGTGGTCGGGGCATTCGTAAGGCCAAAAGGCATAACCAGCCATTCGAAATGCCCATATCGCATCTTAAACGCGGTCTTGTAGCGGTCCTCCTGCCAGATCTCGAGTTGGTGATATCCCGATTTGAGGTCAAGCTTGGAGAAGAACTTGGCGCCGCCCAGTCGTTCGAGGAGGTCGTCGATGCACGGAAGAGGGTCGGCGTTCTTGACGGTTTGCGCGTTGAGCTTGCGATAATCGATGCACAACCGGTGTCAACCGCAACTCCTTGTTCTTCTTCCGGACGAAGAGAACGGGAGCACCGTATGGCGAAGAGCTAGGCCGAATCCAGCCTTTCTCGAGAAGATCGTCGAGTTGTGCCCTTAGCACACTTAACTCTTCCTCGCTCATGCGGTAGATGCAACCACGAGGAGGAACGGCCCCGTCCTCGAGGATGATCTCATGGCAGATGGGTCGATCCGGTGCTACTCCGTGCGGTGTTTCGAACACGTCGCCGTAGGCATCGAGAAGCTCGGTGATGCGTGGGTCCAGTGGTGAGTCCGTCGATGGAATGTCTTGGGGCGGGAGGGCGTGGAGAAAACACACCCCCATCTCCTCGATGTCATCCCGGATGATGGATGCTCGAATGCTTGCGGCGGACACCACGTGAAAGCTGATCGAAGGGTGAGGAGGAGGCACCGTGCATGGGACTAATACTCCGTTTCGATCACGAACGTGAACGGTGCGGCGGTAGAAGTTCACCGGGTGATCCTTGCTTCGCAGCCATGACATGCCCAAGATCATGTCGAACTTGGTGTCCAAAATATCGAAGGACACGGCCTCGCTTGCATGCGGGGCAAGGTACACAGGGACGGCATCAATCCACCAGTCGATTGACTTGTGCGTGTGACCGTCGGCCAACGTGACTTGCGTGGGCTGCGACTTCCTCCGAACACGTGGCCCAAGGCCAGTGGGTACCATAAAGTCTTGGCTCATGTAGTTGCGAGTAGCTCCGCAATCGATCAAAGCGCTGCAGGTCGCCTCTCCGATCTGAATGTGTATGTATAACAATGGCGCGTCGATGTCGTCGTACCGTTGTGTCTTGAACTCACGGTCGATCTTCGCAATGTAGTCGTGAAGGTCGACAACCTCTACTCCGGCGTCCATCAACGGAGTTGGTACTGCAGTGTGCAAGTAATCCCACAATTGTGCCATGAGCACATTGCAATGCGGTTTCGGCAATCGACCGGACGGGGGAAGGGGCATCCATTGGAAGTCCGCAAACGTCAACGGGTCGAGCTCTTCAAGTCTTGACCATGTCGTCGAATCCCCGGCGATAGATGGCGGCGAAGCTGCCGAATCGGTTGCCGATGGTAGTGAAACCGTGCATGCGGTGGATTGTTGCACGTGGAGTGGTTGGTCCAACGGTGGCGTCGGTGGGACCAAGTGGACAACATAATCCTCGTAAGTGAACCGACGACTTGCGACATTCACATCCTCCCCAGATGTGTAGGAGGTAGCTAGCAAGGCGGCCGAATCTGGCGGAGTGAGAGGTGGAGTCGCCTCATCTCCGCGCTCCGGCGCAACTCAGTTTCCCGAGTTGATGCGAGGCCGAACATCCTCCTTGCCTTGATCTGGGCATTGGGAGGTCTTGTGCTTGGTGCTGTTGCACCAATAGCAGCAGCCATACCGGCCGCGCCACTTGTATTCGGCCTCGATCAAGTGAAACTTGACCCAAGATGCTGGCTATCCGTTTTCGGCCGGCGATGCGGTTTTCACCTTCCCTTTTCCTCGGGAGTTGTTGTTGCTTCGTGGCTGGACAGAAGCCACCTGATCTCCCTCACGTGATGCTTGGGTGGCTGCTGGGTCTTCCACAATGTTGTCCGAGTGGACTGCAGCGACATGCTGCAGACGCGGACCAGATTTTCCTTTCTCCATATAGGTTGGCTGCCATGCCGACTTCTCGTGTGCAACCGCCCTATTGGTCTTGATGATCTTTCTTGCCTTGGCGATGATTTCGGCGAAGGTCGCGTATTGCTCGCGATCACCAAGTTGAAGGCTCAAGGCGGCACATGACCGGTTGTAGAACTCCCGACGCAGATGCGAAAATGGCAATTCGAGATCCGGCGTCGCCGCGATCTTTTGCCATTTCGTGAGCCAGTCGCGTGTCGATGTGTTGCCTTGCGTCATAGCGAAGAGGCGGTTGATGGCGAGCGTCGGGGCGTCGTCCACGATGAACCGCTTCTTCCATAGCYGTGTTAACTSTTCCCAAGAGATCTTATCTTTCARATCTGCGACCTGGACGCCGTGAATGGTTGCKAGGTGGCTGAGCCRGATYTGGCATCYGCCTTTTGAGTTGAGGAACARCGCGCCGATGTACGAGTGCTCGGGGACGGAAAAAATCCGAAGTTGCGTCGTAAAGCCCTCCCACCAGGGGACCGGGTCTTGATGCGTATAATCATCGAACTTCTCGATTTGGAATGTCGGCATCTTGTAGTGTTGCGCACTGGTGTTGCCCTCCTTGTTGGGCCGCTGGTGCAGTTGCTGAACCTCGGTCTTCAAGGTGTCCAGCTGCTTGTTGATGGTTGCTGGTGCAGCGAAGGTGCTGATGTCGCTGAGCATTGCGACTACGTGGTCAACTCATTCCTCCGATTGGCGGGTAGAGGGKGCACTGCTGGACTCGCCAGCATCTGGTCTTGGTGCACCCTGCTCCAAGTACTGTACACGGGAATCGAGTGCCCGTGTAGCATCCTCGTGCAGACCCTTGTGGTTTTGCACCACCCGTCGGAGATTCGCCAACTCGGACTGCAGGTGGTTACAAGTGTAAACCAACCGGGTCACGAGCTTGGCCAGAAACTCCTTGTGCTGCTCTTCAGGTGTCGCGTCGTCGTGCTGCTCAGATGGTTCAAAATGCCAGAACTTGAGCTTTTCGATGCTAGTAGCTTCATGCCGCTGTAGCAGATCCTGGGCCTCCTTGCGACGTTCCTGGGTATCTGCTTCTGCTTCGGCTTGAAGCCGCTGCTTTTCAGCTGTTGCCGCCGCTTCAGCTTGTAGGCGGGCAGCCTCGGCTGCCGCCTGACGCTGTTCCTCAACCTCGATCAGTGCGAGCTGAGCTTCGAAACGCTGTCGGTACTTGGCAATGGACTCATTGGCCAGTTGGCCTGGCATGCCCAGAACTGAGCCCGTCATGGTGGCGGGGCACTGCTGACGTGGTACTCCTGACATGGCACTGTTGCTGACATGGCACTGCTGACGTGGCACTGTTGCTGACGTGGCACTGCTGACGTGGCACTGTTGCTGACATGGCACTGTACCAAACCGGGAATGCAGGCAAAGGGGTGGGTGGGAGGGAAAACGCAGGGAGGTAACCAACCAAGTTTTACTTTCCTCCCAGTCCTAATCAACATAATAAAATAAATAAAAAAATAAAAGAAGAGGATCACCCCCCGCTTTTTTTTTCTTTTTTTTTTTGTATATTTGTCGATCTGTTATGAGTGAGGTATGTCGGAAGAGTACTATGAGCAAGATCTAGGCCAGTTGCTGCGAAGTTTCGGCTTTCACAAAATTGCAATCCTTAAAAAAAAAAAAATTGCGAAATAGAGTAGAGATGCGATTTTCAGAAAAGAACTAATCCAGTTTCTGAGAATATGACAACCTCCTAATATGCCTAAAACGTAATGCTGGTAGGCTTCGCAAGATTTTGGTTTTCAAAAAAAAATTTGCGAGATAGAATGGAGATTCAATTTTCAGAAAAGAATAAATCTGGTTTCCGAGAATATGACCACCTCTATCGTTATCCTAATATGCCTAGAAAAGGAATGCTAACATCAGAAATTTTCGGCTATGTATGCGAATATCAGAGAAACGAATTGCTACTTTCAGAATTTTTTGGATATTTGTTGACGAAATGCTAATATCGAAAATTTTCAAGTAGAACGAAATGCTATTGGTTTTCAAAAACAAATTTGCGTGATGGAATGGAGATTCAATTTTTAGAAAAGAATAAATCTAGTTTCCGAGAATATGACCACCTTTATCGTTATCCTAATATGCCTAGAAAACGAATGCTAACATCAGAAATTTTCGGCTATGTATGCGAATATCAGAGAAACGAATTGCTACTTTCATAAATTTTCGGATATTTGTTGCGCGAAAACGAAATGCTAATATCGAAAATTTTCAAGTAGAACGAAATGCTATTATCATGAATTTTCAGATAAAACGAAATGCGATTATCAGAAATTTTCAGATATTTGTTGCGTGAAAACGAAATACTAATATCAGAAATTTTCGGGTAAAACAAAATGTGATTATCAGAAATTTTCAGATATTTGTTGCGAGGAAAAAAGAAAAAAAAAATCAGAGATTTGACGAAGTCCAACTTGATTTCCTAATGAGTAATCAATAGATCAAGCAAACTGGCTACTTGATTGAGCGGGTCCTCTGATTGAGAGGTCCGCTCCGATACCAAACTGTTGCATACCGTGAAGGTGCAGACCAGAACAAGAACCGACCTCTCTCACAAAGTACAAGATAGCGTAGCGGAAGACTTAGATACCAATGATCCGAACAATCAATGTTGCAATGCAGTC